ATTTGAGTGAAAAAAACAAAATCGAGAGCATTGTACACCTCCTCCTTATTCACGGAAAAGAAATAAAAATGGTTTTTCACTCTCCTTTTCTCCCCTTGACAATGGGGTAACTGATGTCGCGCCTCTTACCTGGCTTTGTGTTCCTGTTCCTGGGGACGGCCTCCACTCTCACCCTCACGCCTTACCTCGGCCATGAAGTGCTGCGCCTTCTCCAGCACGTACTTCATCTCCTTGAGCTCCTTGAAGTTGGACTTGAGGTTGACGCCGTTTTGACTCAGCTCCAGCATCTCCGTCTCCGTCTTCTCCAGGTGCGCCTGGAGGAGGGGGAACAACGTCTCCGTGAAGCGGCGGCATGGATATCATGAGAGGCCGCGGAGCACTCACTCACAGACCCACCCACCTCTAGGTCGATGATCTCGCGCGGGTTGGGCGCCATGGGCATCTCGTCCAGGTCCGGGATGGGGACGCCGTCTCGCCGCACCTCCTCCTCGATGTAGCGCAGCTTCCGCTCCAGCTCGTCGCAGCGCCGCACCTCGCTCACGAACTTCCTCATGAAGTTGTTCATCTCCTCGTTCATCTAAAGGAACTCGTCAATGAGTCACTGTTGTGCACTACGATGGCCAGCAACTCGTTTAAACTCCAACACTTACGTCTCTAAACTGAGCGATGCCCATCTCGCCCAGGGCGGACACGGAGGTGTAGGCCGCCTCCGGCTGCAGGAACAGCTGGCACAGCGTCATCTCTTCGGAGCGGAACATGGCCCCCATCCTGGAGCAGGGAGAGACGACCCGTCACGCACAGTCACACCACCGTCACTCGCGCGCGCCGGCACACAGCCGCAGTCACATGCGGCGCCTTATCGACGCCACGGCCCCGTCACCGATCAGATAAGGAGAGTCTTGTGATCGGTCTCCGCGCAAAACCGACGCCGTCCTTCTCTTTGGACTTGAAACTTGTTTTACCTGCACGCACGCGCCGGTCGGTTTACAGGATGAGAGTGAGAGCAAAGCTAGGAGAGAAAGGAGGGGACTCCTTCTGCCAAACTGCTGCATGAATACAACATCCATCGCATTTATTCTACAGCTCACTATTCCAAAATTACTTATCGTTAGGAGCAACTTCACTGTATATCCCATGCTTTGAGTGGCGCTTTGAAACGAAATCACTTAATTTATTGGTCGTTTTGGGATTGTCGATGATACCTGATTCGTTGGTGGCCACTGGGCCGGCCGATCCTATCAGTTCACGAGACGGCGTGGGACTGCGGCCGAAGACGCTCACTGTCCGCGGCGCGGGGCGGGGCGGGGTGGTCGCTGATACGGCCAGTGGTCGGTCACGTTAGCCACCACCTTCGCGACCCTACCAATCGAATAGAACATATCAAATCTCTAGTTTGATTTGAAATTCTACGAAAAGTTGCGGTATCTTATTCTGATACGGCGTATAAAAGTATGAATGCTAAGACTAGTAGTAATCTCGAAAATATTTTAGATTTAAAGATCAAATTCTGTGCTAATAGGTGATCAGTCGCAGAGCCCGTGCTTATATGCCCCAGTCGGCAATGCGGTCGAATCGACGCCATCTTTCGAAAAGCGGAAGCGGACGTGACGAGGCGGCCTTTGTCGTGCTGTCGTAGCAGAGACCGAAAAATGTCGGCCGTGGCCATGAACTTGGACAAGGGGTGAGATCAAATCTTCCGAGCGAAATCATATTGTGTTGGAGTCGATCGAAGTGGTTAACACGTATGGAAACGGCTTGGCGTCCCCAGCCCGACTCAAGGGCTCAGTGCGGGGCGCAGTTCGTACGTGCTTCCCCAGCGAACACCATGGACGTCGTCCTCGCCCTGGCGCTCCTCTGTGCCGGCGCGCACGGGGCCCTGTCCGCCTTGCCCGTCGTGGACGAGTCTGCTGCCCCCGAGGCCACAAGCGCCACGGCGCTGATGTACCCGTTTCTCCGGCACCAAAAGGCCGGCGTCGTGGTGCTCGGTCAGGTGTGGTGGACCAACGCCCTCCTGCGCGGCCTGCCAGGGGAGACCCCCCGGGTGGTGCTCACGGAGCAGTCGCACTACGAGGAGTCCGACAGCCTGCCTGTGCAGGTACAGGTGAGACACCACGTCCTCGTGGTCGTCGCCGACGGACCCCAGGCGCTGACCTTGCTCACAAGCACGGCGAACTTGATGGTCAGGTTCCATCGCGGTTTGTTTTGGACCAAAGTCGCGACGGCCGCTCAAGAAGCAGTTGCAAACGAAACGTTTCTCGGATGCCTAACGCAATGGAGAGACTGTGACGCTCAGACCACCCTCGGCCTGACCGCCGGGGACGGCACCACGACCCTCTACAGACTTCGTCCACGCGACTGCAGGTTAGAAGGAGAAAACGCGCCGCCCGTCACCGAGCTGGACCGCTGGTCGCCCGTGAAGCAGCGTTGGCTGAGCTGGGCATCGCCGTTCAGCAAGTTCTGCGATAACTGGCTGCCCCCCCGCACCCAAGGAGCCTCTCACTTTATACGTAATTGGACCATGGGCAGGTGGTGGCAGACACTACGACGTCCTATCGAACAACATAAAGCGGCACAGCAAACTGAACAAGAACATTAGAAGGACTGTGGTGAATAGCCCAAATAGTAGTCTCCGGTCACTATTAGCAGAGATCAGGCAGTGCCGTCTGGATGGGTTTCTTGTGATTTTACAGGCGGAGCCCATCAGCAGCGACGAGTTGACTTGTTTCTTCGATTCGACGGCAACCCCCATAGTTGTCCTCGTCCCCGCCGGCCTCGGACCCGCGATCAACCCCCTGGGCGCCGTCCTGGTGGAGTTCTCTCCGGCGGTGTGGTTGGGCACGGCGCTGGCTGTGCTGAGCACCGCGGCCGCCCTGGCTTGCACCCTCCGCCGGGACCGCGGGGCGGCGCTGATGCTGGCCCTGGCCCCACTGCTTGGCCAGGCCCCGGGGACGCCCCCGCCCGCGGGCCACGCGCTGCGGCCGCTGCTCGGCGTGTGGCTGCTCGTGTGCGTCGTGCTGGTGGCCGCCTACCAGGGGCTGCTGCTGGGCAAGCTGTCTACGGCGCAGCCCCACAGGGAGATCAACAGCCTGCAGGACCTGGGGGACAGCGGGCTGCCCGTGCACGCGCCGTGGCCTGTTCTCAAGCAGCTCGACGGAATCCTGCCGGAAAATGTTCGCAGGAAGCTGGTTGTCGTTCATCGCTTCCTACACCCCATCGACTTCATCGCCAATCGCGTTGTGGTTGACCGAAACTGTGCTCTCATTGTTGAAATGGATGACGATGTGGCACGAGGTATCCGTTCTTGGCTGATACCTACGAAGTCCTTGCATTTTTTCACGACAGGCGCTTCGTTTTTAAGAGTCAATGGCCTGTGGACCCGTGGCTCGCCACTCGGCAAAGCCATCGCCGTGGCCCTCAGGGGGTCGCTTGAAGGGGGGTTGTCGCAGCGTTTCAACGCCCTGGCGGACTTCACGGAGCGACTGACGCGGGAGAAGACCACGGCTGGCGTGTCGCCGGCGCGGCCGCTTACCTTGCGGCAGATGTATCCAGCGTTCCTGTGCCTCTTAGGCGGCCACATTCTCGGTGCAGCTGTCTTTGCTCTGGAGCTTCTGGTGCTTAATGTTCAGCGTGCTGAGTCATCCTAAAATATTACATACCTCCGAAACATCTAGGCTTTGAACGAAGAAAAGCCGAAACATCTAGGCTTTGAACGAAGAAAGGTGTGCTCCATTGTTAAAGACCATCTCTAATGTGCAAAATAGTAATTTGCACAGCTGGAAGCGCTATCCATCGTTCCTGTGCCTCATAGGCGGCCACATTCTTGGTGCAGCTGTCTTTGCTCTGGAGCTGCTCGTCTCTCGCCTAACTGACCGCGGGGAGTTCAAAGTAGTCCCAGTTCCAGGAACCAGTGCCAAACGTTGTCTAGGGGTGCAAACAACTACAGTTGAAATCTGACTGTACAACCAGAAAACATTCCATTGCAAGTTTGTTCTATGGTAAGTACACTCTTCCTTCCGAGTACTAAAGCAAGTACACTTTTCTTGTGTGTTCTAGTTACACTGCTGGCACACAACAGTGTACGCAAACCTTGCACACTTGAATCGTGAGTTCAAAGCAAAGCTTCCCTGTAATTGCGCATCAAAACAATCGAACATAACGACAAACTCCCAGGCGGTACCAATTACTGGGCGTTCGGCATCGAGCGGCATGTGAAAAGGATAAAACATTTTACTAACGGGTCACTTATTTCCTTGATCAGATGCGACTACGTATGTCCACGTGCCTCTTGAGTGACAGGACCTAGAGGGCTACCAGCCGCTCGTCGGGGCAGCCGTGATGGGTCACATTTGAAGGCGGGTGGAGCAGGCAGGGGGACGGACTGGAAAGTCGCACCGGCCACAATAGGTAGGTAGACGCGAAGGGCAATGGGGTGCGGCGGTCGTGACATGCGCGCTGACTGCGCACCTCCACCGAGCTGTGCTTCTCGGCCGGCCCCGTCTCTGCGGCCGGGCTAGTCTACCTATTCAAAACTACAGGGAGACTCGACACCCTGTACACGTCACTGCTGGGGAAAACGGTTGGTCCCGAATATGCGTGGCATATACAAACCTTTCCACACGTGCATTTCAAAGGAACGAATTCTGTCAGGCGGCACCCAGACGCAGCAAAATGTGTCGAGCGACAAGTGAAAAGGGAAGCACATTTTCCATAGGGGCCACTTTTCCTTCTTTGCATTCGCTACATCACATGCCTTTGGAAGCGAAAAATCGAAGAGCTAAGTGCTAACTAGTCGCAGCCCAGGAGGGCGACCGGCTGCCAGCTGGACTCATTTGAAGGCGGGTGGAGCAGGGAGACGGACTTGTAATTCGCGCCCGCTACCATGGGGGTCGCTCTGCTCATGTTGCTCCTCGGCTTCGCAGCGCCCGGGGTGCGCGCCGACCTGCCCGTCGTGCACTTGCCCGTCGACCCCGAGGCCGCGAGCGCCGTGGCGCTGCTCGCGCCGTTCCTGCAAGCCCAGAAGGCCACCCTCATCGTGCTGAATCAGACGCGTTGGACGAACGCCTTCCTCCGCCAGCTCGACGCGGACATCCCGCGAGTGGTAAAGTTAGGCCCCGGATGTGCAAGTGCTCAAGGGTGGTGCATGAACCTCAGGATGGCGAGTGAGCTCTCTCAACATCGCTACGTAAGGCTCGCTCAGTTAGCAACCACAGGAAGGCCGGATGAGCTGGTCTACATAATTAAAATTACGCCAGATTCAGTAAACAAGTAATCCGCACGATCCTCTGGACCTCGGTGACGTCGCTTCGAGCTCGAGACGACGTTCTGCGCGTCGTCTCCCACACGAAGATATGGCTGGGCATGAGCCAGCTCGCTTTGGCCCTCACCGCCCCCGACGGCAGCACCGTCCTCTACAAGCTGACTTGCACCTCTAATCACAGCTGCAGACACAGGGCAATCACTGTCATCGAAATGGACCGTTGGTCGGCGGTCGAGCAGCGCTGGA